AGGCTGGTGGTTATTCTCAGAGCATAAATAGGGGATGTCATTGAGGCGGGCAGGTGGCAGGCTTCTGGGGTGGCTGCCAGTTCTACCTCCTGACACAAGTGGCAGTTACCAGAGTGTCCCCACATGCCGTAGTTTCGCTCTTACACGCATTTGCTTTCTACCATTTCGTTTATCTACAGTTAACCATGGTCCAAAAATATTAAATGAAAAATTCCAGAAGTAAACAATATAGAAGCTTTTGACTGCGTGCCATTTTGAGTGGTGATGAAATCTCACACCATCCCACTCTGTCCCACCTGGGATGTGAATCACCCCTTTGCCCAGCACACCCACACTGTACACACTCCCTGCCTGTTGGTCACTTACGAGCCTTCTTGGTTATCAGACTGACTGTCATGGTATCATTCTGTTTTATTATTAGTTATTGCTGTTCATCTCTTACTGTGCCTAATGTATACATTTAACTTTATCATGGGTATGTATGTACAGAAAGAACATAGTGTATACAGGGGTCAGTACTACCTGTGGTTTGAGGCATCCACTGTGGGGTCTTGGAACATATCCTGCAATAATTAAGCTGTGCATTTTTTGGATGTGATTTTCCATACTTGCATAATTTTTAATAATGAAAGATTTTTTTAAATAACAGCCAATATTTACCAAGTGCTTATTATGTGCCTAACAGTGTACTTGACACTCTGCAGACCTATTTAAGCTTATAAAAACCCTGGTTGTTGGGAAATGTTAGCTCCACTTCACAGAGAGGAAACCGAGTCCCAAGACCCTGTGCCTCTCTTCACTCTTTCCTTTCTTCCACCAATATTCCCAGCAGTTCCTAGCTGGAGACCTTAGATACCGGGCACTGAGGAAATGGGTAGGCAACATGGACCCAAGCCTTGTCTGCATGGCCCTATGTTGTAGGAACTGAATAAGCCATCATACAAATGAACCTATCATCAGAAATGGCTATGAGGGAAGAGAACAGGATGGTGTAAAAAAGAGTCACCTTCTAATTGGAAGACCAGGGACAGCCTCCTGGATACTGGGCATAGGGGCCAAAGGATAAGAGTTGGCCAGCGAAGACTGAGGGGAAAGGTGTTCCAGGTGGGAGGATCAGCAAGTGCAAAGGCCCTGCGGCAGGAGCAAGTGTGGAGTATTGGAGAAGCAATGCTCCTGTGGCTGAGCAGAGTGAATATGGGGGAGAGAGGTGAGAAGCGGGCAGGGGCCAGATCATGTAGGGACTTGTAGGCCATGGTGAGGAGGACTAGGGGACCACTGAAGGCTTTGGGGGTGGGGGAGTTATTGAAGTAGGAGGAATGAGGATCACTCTGGATGTTGTGTAGAGAATAGATTGTTGGGGAACAAAAATTAAGATGGGGACATCAGTGAGTTCCCCTCACTGCAGGATCACGGAAACCAGAGAAGAGGGTGGACAGAACAACAATGAAAATAATTATAATAATACGAATAATTGTAATTATAATCATAGTAACAGCAACCCACATTCACTAAGCAC